ACCCTCCTTCTGCAGCAGCCAAGGTGGACCTTGATCCACGAGTATGGAAGAGCTTCATTTATTCCAAAGTTTCCTGATCCCACATGGTACAGTCCAGAGTTATGTTTTAATAAGGGCATGGTAGAGAATAGGTTGAAGAGAGTGTCTTCTTTCATCACTGCATTGTGAGAAGCCTTGCCAGATGACATCTGCATGCCACAGTGATCAAAAGCCCAAAGGGCATTTTTGATCAGAAATTGGAAACCCTAATCCAGGGAAGCTGGTTGTTGTGGTGCTTCCAGAAAGCCCCATCCCACCCCCTCTGCCCAGATGCCCTTTGTCCACAAGGATGTTCACCTGCCTGGTTCACCTTCATCCTCACAATTTCCCCTAAACCAGAGCTTTCCAAACTGTGTCGTGACACATTAGTGTGTCAGCTGCAGCGTGTAGGTGTGTTCTGCTAATGTACCCCAAGCTCCTCCCAGGGCAGGAAAGGGGCTAGTTTAATCTCCGGTTTGCTAGTAAAACTGAATGACTGTGTTGTGAAATGATGAATGTCTAAGAAGTATGTTACCAACATGAAAAGTTTGGAAAGCTCTGCTCTAAACCATGGACAGTAATAGCAGTTTGTAATCTTACCTTCATCTGTGATGTAGACAGAGTTCAGCACAGGCAAAGAGATGAGCAGGAGTATGGCAAGCAGTGTCCTCACCAAGCACAGAGGAACTGCCATCCTACTAGAAGGTACATCCAGGATCAGACCCAAGTCAAAATCTTGTCCCTCTGTACTGGTGTCGACAGTATATGCTCTGGCAGAACACTGGACACATGGATACATCAGTGGCCCGCACTCCTGCGGAGGTAGCAGACAGGGACTGCTTGGCTTTTTGTTCCAGTGAACGTAAGCTCTGAACCTTTGTTCCTGGACCTGTGCAAGGGAAGCTTATCTGGGAAGTGCCAGGCCAGCTGCTCAGGAAGCCTGGGTAAAGGCCTCCTCCAGTCCTGGGCCCCACCACTTCCCCAGCCCGAAACCACTGCGCCATGGCCTGCAAGAGTGGCAGCATTGGCTGGAGGCTGCTATGATCAGATAGGCAGTATGGCTTGCCCTTGTGGCGGTGGTTCTTAAGGACAGGGCCTTTGGGCAGGAAGCACTGGATGCCGTAGAGGACTGGCAGGAGATGGCAGTGCTCTCAGAAGAATAGTCTGTGAATGTTGTGAATTGGGGGGTGGGTGCTCCAGGCAAATGAGGGTGGCCCTGGTCTGGAAATTCAAGTGTGGGGTAAGGGAGAAATGGCTCTGTGGTTGCACTTGCTAAACGGGAGAGTGGTATTGCACCCACATGGTGCTTGTGGGCTTCCCAAGGGAGCGGGTAATGCTGTGGTCTAAACCACAGAGTCTCTTGGGCTTGCTGATTGGAAGGTCAGCGGTTCGAATCCACACGATGGGGTGAGCTCCTGTTCCTCTGTCCCAGCTTCTGCCAACCTAGCAGTTCAAAAGCATACCAGTGCAAGTAGATAAATCGGTACCACTGTGGTAGGAAGGTAAAAGGCCTTTCCGTGCACTCTGGTTTCCATCATGGTGTCCCGTTGTGCCAGAAGCGGTTTAGCCATGCTGGCCACATGAGCCGGAAAGTTGTCTGTGGACAAATGCCGGCTCCCTCGGCCTGAAAGCGAGATAAGTGCCATAACCATATAGTCACCTTTGACTGGACTTAACCGTCCAGGGTCCTTTGCAGCCTTCCCATAGACATTCTGTTGGACACTGAGAGCAGAATGCTACACTTGATGCGCCTTTTTTTCTCAGACCCAGCAAGGGGATGCCAATAATGTGAGTTACAGATAGGTAGCCGTGTTGGTCTGTCATAGTCAAAACCAAAAAAATTCCTTCCAGTAGCACCTTAAAGACCAACTAAGTTAGTTCTTGGTATGAGCTTTCGTGTGCATGCACACTTCTTCAGATACCTCTTCAGATACTTCTGTGATTAGCAAGTTTATGTCAGACACACACACACACACACACACACACACACACACACCACTAGGTACAGAGAGAGGTGGGTGGCAACTGTTATCAAGACTGTGGCCCTCTCACCCACAATTCCTGTGATATCCCTCTTCCATGTGTGACAGTTAATATTAAGAAAACAACTCTTGTTGGAACCAGTGGGAGAAAACAGTCAACAGGCACTCACATCCACAAGTTGTGAGGAGCATCTGGGAATGAGGCCCCAAGCAAATCTTCAAGCAGCGGATGGGTACTGGGACCACCCCTCATTTGCTCCACCACAACATGTAACTCAAGGACCAGATCACTAAAAGTGCCTCCAGGCTGTCACTATTTTGTGGGACGGATTCAAGCACACACCGGAACAAAAGGTTTGTGCAATTAAAGTGGATTTAAAAACTGTTGCCGTAACACTTTAAAAACAAAGGACTCTTTGGATTTAGGAAAGTGATAGGATAACAGGATATTGAAATGTATGGGATGAACAAACAATAGTCAGGAAGATGACTAAACACCCCGCAAGCAAATCAGCATGCTTGCTGGATGTCTGCTCATTATAATATAACTGCCTAATAAACAAATAAGAATTAATCCTCTATAAAGCCAGCATTTGGTAGTTTAGTCCTCACAGAGCTACAAACTAGTTTCCAGGATTCTTTGCGGGGAAGCCATGTGCTATAAATGCATAGTGTGGTAGTGTGGCCTAACCACCACATAAGCTTTTGCAAGCAAATCAGGATGAATGCTTAATAAACAGGTGGTTTGGAGCAACCCATAAAAGCTACTTAAGATACTCCTTTGGCAAAGTACCAAGTTAAAGACAGTGTTTGCTCTCCCTGGCTAAATGAGTAGCAGAATACACTCACGTCTCAATGCATTTGATCTGAGTAAAGTCCACCTGTTACCATAGATATGGCTGCTGGGACAACCATCGCTAAAGTGGACACCACAGAAGAGATTGTTGATTACAGCTAACCAAAGGCTCGAAGATAACAAACTAGAGGTCAAATGTGGGAGAGTGCAAATGTGGTGGAGAGGGTGAGAGAGAGGTGCTTTTCATTTTATTTCTCAGGCACGAGGAAGTATGCAACAGATAACAATTCAAGCAGTGAAGAAACTGTAAAGGCTAAAAGAATCATACATTACTGAGCACCTAAGGAGAAACTGACAAGCAGGCACCTTTGGCATTGCCCTCTTAGTGCCTGTCGAAGATGCTTCTCTTTTATAACAAGCCTTCTGAGTGTAAATCTTTGGTGTCATTTAGTATCAGTATCAGAACTGAATTGATTTTATATATGCCTTGTTGTTTTAAGAGTGGTTGGAGCAACCCAGCCTGATGGGTAAGAGGATATTATTATTATTATTATTATTATTATTATTATTATTATTATTATTAGTGTGTGCATATATAATTTTTATGTATGCAGATGTCAGCTGCTTTTATATATGCAGCTGTTCTGTGCATGTTTTTATTGTATTGTAATCACTTTGGGACATTCATAAATGAAATAATAACAACATTCAAAATCTGCACATGTATGCAAGAGAAAAACACTCCACAATTTAAAAGAGATTCTTAAAATGATACCATGAAGGTCTTAACTATATTATTATTATTATTATATGCAAACTAGGAATAGCAGAGAATTTGATTTAGTTCACATCTAAAGGAGAGCTTACTTATGCAAACCAAAACACAGCCATCCTTAGTGAAAACTCATGTTATGAAGCCCTAACATCTTTTTTTTTAGAACATAAAACTAACTTTGGGAAATTTTTTAATAGACAAAGAGGAAGATGCCCCAACCCTTCCCTCAGCGACCATTTCTCTACTTCAACTTCCCTCCCTGTGGCTTTTCTCCACACAGAGTTCAAAACATGGATAAACACAAAACTGTGCCCTCAAGCAATCAAGCAAATGTTTGTAGCAGTGCCTCACTCTTGATACTGCTGGGAAATGCTGATGCAGTTTGTACCAAAACCTGGCCTGAACACTATTTATTTAGTGCTCCATAACAGTTTTTAGTTACGGAAATATGAATTTATTGCTGAAGAGAATCTTCCTTCCCTGCAACATTTTGCATGATTTTTTGTTGCTGCATGTGCGTGGAATAGCGGATCTGCTGTCTCAAGTTTCAATTCTCATATTCTGTACTTTCCCTTCCATATCCTATAACTGGTTGCCCATGAGCAGAAAGCACTATTTTGTAGATAGCACCAGTATACCAAATACTAATCCCATGGAGCTGAATATGCCAAATATGGCTGTGAATTTGACAGTCCGAAGATGACCTACTCAGGAAATCACCATTGTATTTATTTGTAAGTGGAAATACCTGTCACACACATGGTAGCTAAACTAAGATGTCGCATAAAGAAATATAAAAAGAGACTTGAATGAAATGGTGGCATGACCTCACAAGGGCCCTCGTGGTTTACTCTCAGGAAACTGAAACACACCACCTGGAATGGTAACATTTTTTCCTGAAGGAGAAGGGATCAGGGATCCATAACTCGCTTGTTGCCTTGGCAACACTTACAGACGCAGAACCCTTTGGGCATATTTCTGTGAACTTGTACCGCCCTGGCAAACTGGGTTAAATCCAAGTTAAGAATAGTTATAGTGGTATTTGATTACCTTTGCCAATGAGTTATTTCTTGATTCAGTTGGGCCTCATTTTTTCACTCCCTTCCCTGTTCTTACCAAAACAGTTTGTCAGCAATGTCTGGAGTGGAGCCAGCATTCCCTGCAGGGCAAAGGCCTACACTGAATTCTCTGGTAAAGAATATGCAAACAGTACTGACCGCTAGTATTTGAAGGGGGGGGGCATCTGCCTCCTACGGCAGAGTGCGAGAAGCAGCTCTTTATGGCTGTTAAAATGGCTGCCACAGTTACTGAGAGGCACATACAAAAATAAACAGTTTATATTCATTTGTAAGAGGATGGAGGCTAGAGAGTACCTCTTGATTTCTGTTAAAACACAAGGAAGGTTGTCATACCCCGTTTCACAACTTCATCCTTTTTATGCATCCTTTATTATGTACAAATCTAATGCAGAGGCAGCATAGAACTGCTAGAGGCCTATACAGTCTGAAAGCATATGCTCCATGGGTTAGATCCACCACACAGCAAAACTGATTGCTCTCCTCGTTGACATTCCCATTTCCATGCAATGCTAGAATTGCTTCCATGGGATTCTAGGAGAGTTCCAAAGCAACTCTTTGAAGTTCAGCTCCTTTCTCCCTACCAATTTCCTTTGTTTCATAAGCCATTCATACATGGGCATTTCCAGACTATCACTATTTTGTGAGTGAGAGTTAACTGCATATCGGCAAAGTTAAGATTCAAGAATTAAAGTGGATTCGTCACTCTTGCACAAGAAACTCATTTCAAAAAACAAACAAAACCACACACCCCTGCACAAAAACACATTCACTTTTTTCAGTAAGGAAAGTGGCATGAAAATGCACTAGAAAATGTGTTATAACAATTGCTTGACCTAATATCATATAATCTCCCTGCAAACAAATCAGAATGAATGCTCTATAAACAGCCAACGTCATAAAACCTCCCTGAAAACTTTGTGTAAACAAATCAGGATGAAGGCTCAATAAAAAGATTTGGAAACCTTATTCACTGGCATCCTATAATGACAAGAGACTTGCAGTTCTCAGCCAGCAACTGATCTCACAACATGTGGATTGCGCCAGATCATTGAGGGGACAGTTGTGTCTGCTTCCATGAACAATCCCTGTCCACACTGTTTTGCCCAGTGAAAAAAACTCCTCATGGTATTTGATGGTATTTGTTGAAAAGCAAATGTTTGGAGAAGCATCCAGGTGACATTATATGCATAGGAAGCTGCCTTATACTAAGGCTGTGTACACACTTCCATTTACTCTGCATCCACTGAGCTCCCACTGCTTATTTGGGAAGGGGTGTTACACACAACATTAGCCACAATCCAGATCTATCCTGCTGGTTTTTTTAAATATAATACTGTGTTTTGATGAGTTTTCCCCCAAACCAGCTTTGATCTGAATTGAGAAAAAGAACCACCTAGCTGTGTTGAAGCCAATAATGTGCACACAACCCAGATTTGATTATTTGTTCATCTAGATCAGTATTTTCTCTTTCAAATTACAGCAGCTCCCCTGGAGGTTCCCATTGCCTGCTATCTGATCCTTCTAACTGAAATGCCTAGGGATTGAACGTAGAACTTTCTAGTATGCATGTGACTGCTCTGAGCTTTGGTCCCTCCTGTCGTATAACGTGTCGCTTGAATGCTGTACACAAGGAGGGCCTTGGTAGATTAAACCAAGGGTATATCCAGTCCTGTGCAATGCTTCTTTTGCACGAACGCATTCTTAGTTTTAGAAGCAGGCTTAATTGGAATCAGCACACGCACGGGCCTGCTAGACAAGGAGCAGGAGGAAGTTGCCAAAACGGGAGAAAAAGAGGGGAAGTGGAGGAGGACTTGCTCCTGGGACAGGTGTTCAAAGGTGTTACAATTCAGAACATTATGGAGGACTTGCTTAACAAGTTTGTGCAGTACTTGCACCTGTTCAAAGAAAAGCAGCAGGCTGTGATAAAGAACCCGAGAAAAGTGGGCTATTTTGGAAAGGATATGAGATGAACTGCAAACGGCACAGGCCAATGCTTTTAGCAGCAGCAGCAGATGACATGAAAAGGGTCAGTGTGAAAGCATTTAAACTCCTTCCTAGTGGCTGGCTTTGAAAATTGCTACTATCTCCACATTCCTGCCTTGTTCTGCAGAAATGAAGCCTGGAGGAGGGAGTGTAAAGAAGTGTGTTTCCATGCAGGTAGCAGGTAATCTTTGGCTAGGATCTGCCCTCCGCCTTCCTGCGAGGCATGAGATAATGGTTGTGGTGTATGTATGCATGAATATAGATGATGCAGATTCTTTTGTAATCCTTTGCCTTTTTCTCCTCTCCTCTCCTCCCCATGCCAAATTCCAAGACCAAGAGGCACTCTGTTTCAAGTCGAAGGCTGCTCCACATGCAAACCATGTCCTCCATTCATGCATGGGTCCCATATTGTCCATCTTGGAGGCAGGCTGGAATCGGCACATGGAGTTTGTGATATATAGGGCTACTGAGCATAGATGCCCCCCTAGCACAATTTATAGCTGTGTGTCACTTCTCTGAACTCCATATTTCCTTTAAGTTTGGCAGAGTCTTGGATTGTGATGTGTGCTGTCCATGCCCTTCTGGTCAGGGAAGAAGATGGCATGAGGGATGGGTTCATGAAGGATCCTCTGGAACAGCCAAGTTCAGCTATGTTCTGTGCTCTATGTAAAAAGATGGTGGCATGACCACGAGACATATGTACAGGAGGCTTCTATTGCCCTGTTTGGATCCACAGGTTGGTGGGGTCAGTGCTCAAGTCTCTCATGCTTCTTCAGCCGTCACATCGATCCCTGCATAAGTAAAATTCTCAAACAAAGCCATGTTCACGTAGGCCTGTCAAAGGAGAAACAGAGTCAAGTTGGGGGGCTACTCCCTTTTACCCCTTCTTTTGTGAGTACATTTTCCTCCAGGTTCTGACTAGAAAAGACAATACAATAACTCATATTTTAACCTTACACTGCAATCATGCTCAGAGCAAGCCCCAGCCCAATATCTTGGGACAATTGCCTGATATAGGGCCCAGTTCTAAGGACCACCTGCATCCTGCCTTGACGAAAGAAGCTGAGACCCCACAACAACAGGATATTCTTAGTTGAAGGGTATGGTAAGGGTGCTGGGTCCCCCAATGGTGACACTGGGTTCTGTCATCTGACTGTAAACTCTGCTCACCCACATCTTTAGAGCACACAGGCTAAAAGCTCAGGAGGTTTTTATTCAGAGCACAGCAAGAATATCCCTAGATAGTGATACCTTCCGAGCTTCCAGCATGCGGATGAGCTGCACCGATATCTGAGCAAAGGGTGGACGTTCATATGGCCGGTCCCGCCAGCACTGCCGCATTAGCTCATAGCTGCAGGAGAAGGTGAAGAATCAGAATGAAGTTAAATACACAAGGGAAGGGGAACTGCCAAGTTCACTGGACGCTTGATCTACTGGGCATCTCTCTCTCCTGCTCCTCCATCAGCATGCGACAGTGAGGAGATGTAGAGGCTGAGGCCTAGTATGCCAGTGACCATTGGCAGGAGATAACTGAGTAAATAGGATGTGTGTGTTGGGGAGGGGGAAGGGTTTCCACTTACACTTCGTCATCACAGTTGAGAGGCTTCTCCATGCGGTACCCTTGGGGCAGCTTTTCATAGAGTTCAGCACATGTCATGCCACAGTATGGCGTCCCTCCTAGGAAATCAGACGAGGCACCATATTCACCAGCATCTTGGGGCCACTAGTGGCCGGTTGGGCTCTATGGGTGGGGCTAATTTGCTCTCCTAGCTTCCTAACACTGAGCGTTGCTGCTCCCATTGTTGAGGCAAGGGAGGGGTGTGGTGCTGGGAGTGCTGAATTAGCTCGGCTGCTGGGCTGAGCATTAGCTGGGCTGAGCATCCCACTGCCTTGCCCCTCCCCTGCCCCACTTGGTAACTGCCAGCGACACACAGTGTTGCAAAACCAGACAAGCAATGTCGCTCCATCTGTGCAACCTCACTAGCCACTCCTGCTTGGTGCAATGCACACGTAACACAGCCTTCTGGGTGCTACTGGGACAAAGTTCTCCTAAACCACCCATCTCTGTATGTCCTGTCCTCACCCATACATAGTGCAAAGTGCAGCTAGACTGGAAGAGGTACAGTAGCAACTATATTGGTGAGGTGAATAGATTATGTAGGTCAGTAAGAGTTTTTCTCCCATGATGTTGCTAAGGTTAGCCAGCCCATTTGGGGAGAGATCTGCTAAGACTAGGCATGGTCCCATTTTGTGTTTCTCCCCAAAGTGAAGGTTTTTTATCCTGGCTGTCCTGTTAGGAAGATTGGTTCAAGGTTGTTTCCATGTTCCTCAACCAACGTAAGGGTAAGGCACTCTGATGTCACTCACAGAGAGGATGTTGGAGAAATGAAATGAAGAGGTTGTATTGAAGAGTATGGGGCCAAAATGGGATGCATAGCATAAAGGACAGTGAGGGCAACAGAGACAGAAACTTACCCAGGCTAACTATTTCCCATAAGAGAACCCCAAACGACCACCTGCAAGAGAAAGACAAGTTAGGATGTAGGCTGAGGTCCAGATTTTCCACTCTACTGTAGCAAACTTGCTGCTTTTCTAAGATCATTTTTGTTCTGGCCTGCTACTAATACAGAGAGAAAAAAGAAAATACTGAAGCCAGTAGTTTCCCCTTCGTTAATTGTAAATTATTGTACACTTTCTTCCAATAGGCTTTTTTTTGTAGTATAGTATTCAAATGTATTGCAACTTAATGGATTGATTAAAGAAGTAAAAGACAGAGGATCATTCATACAGTCTCCTCCTCATGACATTCCTCTTCATTACATTTTCTACTTCTACTAGCCAGGAAATGGAACGAAGGGGCCAAGTGAAGGTCCACCTAGTCCAGCACTCTGTTCTCACATTGGGTGGTCAGATGCCCATGGGAAGACCACAGGCGGAACCAGAGCACAACATAATATTTATCCTCCATAAATTTGTCTAATCCTCTCTTAAAGCCTTCCAGGTTGGCAGCCATCACTACTTTGGTGAGAAGAACTGAAGAAAGTACCACCTGCCACCTGATCACTGTCATCCAATCTGCGGTTGACCCTGCCACCCTGCCCACCCACCCATAAATCACTCACACATCACTCTTGGTTGTGTACACACTGTAATTCAGGGACTCAATAGCCATCCAGCGAACTGGCAAACGGCCCTGTAAAAACAAGCATCACTGGGGTTACAGAAGCCCACTTTGAGTAGACCGGCGAACAAAGAGAAGAGATGGAGCTGGGCTCCACTCAGAGCAGAAGAGAAGCCTGAGGAATGAGGAAGTGGTCCACATGATCGTCTCTATCCAGACTTACCATAGTCTTCTTTACATAGACTTCCTCCCCCCGGGACAAACCAAAGTCGGCAATCTTGGAAGTCAGGTTTTCCCCTACCAGGATGTTCCTGGCAGCCAGGTCTCTGTGGATGAACTAGGGGAGGGCAGGAAACAGCAGTGAGCGACATAGGCAGTGGTAGAGAATTCAGGCATTCATCCTAGTCCACAGCTGCACACAACAGCATCTCATGAGCTGTCTTGTGAAACCAAAGCTGTAGGCATCTCAAAATCTTGCCTTACATTTCACCTCCTGTATTGCTTCAGCATTCTCTGGTCCTAACTCAGAGCTGTACTGACATGAAGTTATCCCAGTTCTATCCATGTCAGTACAGCTCTTAGTTAGGACCAGAGAATGCTGAAGCAATACAGGATATAATTGGCATATGATTCCAATACACGTCTACTATTGCAAGCTTGAAGTCAGACACTCAGATGATGGACCAGCCATCCTGTGTATGTGAAACACATTACAAATGGAAAGCACAAACACAGGCCTGCTCTGTCTTTCCCCTCCTTGACTTTGCTTGCTAATTCTCCCCACCCACCCAAAAACAGAACTGGTTCATGAGCCCAACTAGTGGAGCCAGCTCAGCCCAGCGGTTCCATCGACCAACATGATCCCAACTAGTGGGAAAAGGTGGCTAGGTGGTGAGGACACACAGACCTGTTTTTCACTCAAATACTGCATGCCTTTGGCCACATCAGATGCAAACTGCAAGAGCTGTTGGGATGTGAGGGTCGAGGCTGTCCCATGCTCCCTGGCAAAGGCAGGATCTGTCTCCAGGACTCGGCTCTTGCGCAGAAAATCTAGCAAGTTTCCGTAGGGTGCATATTCAATGGCGATGTACAAGTAACCTGGAAAATTAGGGGAGAGACTGTCAAGACAGGCCCAGACAAACATGTCAGGAAACTTACTCCGTTAGAAGCAGCAGGGTTGAGAAAGAAAAGAAAAGACCATAAAAATTATCAGAGATGAACCTGCGATAAGGCACAAGATCCTCCTCTGTATGAATATGGAGAGTGTATGTAGAAATATGCATGGTCATGAAAGATAGTAGACCAGATAGCGTCACTGCAACCACTAGGTGGTGCCAGTGCTTTGACAGGGTTCATCCACACTGCTCCTGAAAACCCCCTTTCCAAAACTGTTTTGTGCACTGTGGCCCTCTGGTGGTTCTGTACCTAGGTGGGTTGTCTGCTGCTCTCACATTCCATTGTACCAGGGCCTCATGCTCTGCCTATTTGTATTTCAGATCTGAAGTCCTCTTGCTCATTTTAAAACCCTGCCCATGGACCCTTCAAAAGCAGCCCATAAAACCCTCCGACACTCCCTTCTATCACTATTTCCAGCAGAAATAAGGAAAACCCATGTGCTCTGCTTCCTTCCCCTCACTTCCATGTGCTTAAAGGGTATTGTTAGATTGCTACTATGATCTAACTAAACTTATTTTCCAAGCCTGGTTAACAACGTGTTTCAGTGATCTCCATCATTATCTCACCCTGCTATCAGCTCTATCAGTCATGCAAGTTGTTTGCTCTTAGTACATTGCTGCTGTAAAGAAGGCAGAAGCTCCTGGTAGGGAAGATATCGTGACCTTGAAGGTGATTTCCCCAGGGTGAGGTTAATGCCTGGCATTCTGGGTGCGTTGACCCCTGTGATTTCCCCAAATGTGAGAAACTCAACTACATAATTTCCTCCTCTAAAGGAGGAGGAAGATAATAACACTTCTGGGTTTGGTGTTTATGCTGCTTTGCAGTTACAGAAGCAGGCATCAGCGGATCTACCATTCTTTGCTTTCTGGTGGTAAAACTTTTGCCAGATTGTGACACCTGCTCACAGATGGCGCAATATGTTTTAAGGGTATGTATCTGTCTGTCACTCCCTCACAACAGCAAGCAAACACTAAACTTGGCACCCTAGAATAAGCAGCTCAAGTGTTGGCTCTGATTCCAGTCGCTGCCCCATACTAACCACAGGGAGAGATTAAGGAGAAATGGAGTAAGGAAATATTTTGCAAGTTGAAGGAGTGGCAAGAGAGGATGGGGCTTTTGGGCTTTGCGTGCTAGTGTGTGTGTTGTTTGGAAGCAGGGCGGGTCTGTTGTTCCCTCACGACGAGCCCTCCTCAGTGAATAAAGGAAAAGGTGGTGCAGATGAGCCCAAAGATGGAGGAGCAGGGGAAGAAGTAGTTAGCACTGGAGGGTGCCCTATTGGCAAGGTGTCTCACCCTTGTTCTCGCAGGCTCCCAGCAAGTTGATGATATTGGGATGGTGGCCCAGCTTGCAAAGAACTTCCAGCTCTCCAGCAAAGTCCCGGTGGTCATTCTCAGAGGCAAATTCTGTGGTGGCAAGAACATTTGTTGTACATGTGGCCAAGCCCAGCTTTTTGGTGTGCTACATGCATGTTACAAATATATCTGTATCCTGAATGTGATTGGAAATGAACATTCCTGCACGCACATGTCACAGTTTTACAACCACACATAAGGCCCTTGTTCACATGTAATGCTAAGCAAAACTATCAGTCAGTGTGAACAAACAAATACTGTGCAGGCTCCCAGAGAGGAGATAATGGACACTTTGCTCCTGCTTGGCCATTCTACTGATGTGTTGTGTGACACTGTGGTTTGGCTTAGCATGTTATCTGGATCTGGGCTTGTAGTTTAGCTGCCCCAGGCAAATCACAAGCTCCAAACCACAGGGCAGGCCTTGGTTATAGCTTGTGGCCTGGAATCCTGTGAATTGTAGTTTTAGAGCTGAAAATTGCTAAGTATCTCTGTTTCCCTGCACACTATGGTGCTAGCTACCTGAGATTGGGAATTGCTATGAAACCATTTTAAGTATGTGGTGGAGATATTCTCTATGATTGTGTGCCATGAGGAGGCCCATTGTCCTGCCTTCTGAACAGGGATATGCGAGGAGTGGCTGCTGTCTTCATTCTCTGAATACTTTGGTGCTTGAGCACCAGAAAAAAGTGGATGCATATGTGTCTGATGGTCAATGCAGTCCCCACCACCAAGAAGGAGGCAAGTATCAGAACAGGCCTGCCAATCATTTACACCCTAAGCAGGGCTGGCTAGCAAGGGAGAGGTAATGGTCTTCCTGTGTCAAGCATGGGAGTCTGACTTCGTGTGGCATCTCACCTTTCAGCATCTTGATGGCTGCATTCATTCTCAGGCCATCTTTCTTGATCATGGCCCGGATGACTTGCCCAAAGTTCCCTTCCCCTATCATGTCCTCAAACTTGATGTCTTCCCACTCCAGGATAGGGTAACTGAGGGGCTCAGGCTGGGGCTTGGGCCGGCGAGTCAGGGTCAGCGTGCCTGAGTTGAACTGCAAAATGGTCTCTTCCCCCTGTGAGAGGATCAGTTAAGCGGGGAGGTTGGCAGCAGCACTACAAACCAAGTGGGTCAACAGTCTGCTGTCACAAGCATGGTGGAGCATAAGAATTATGAGGGTGGGGAGCCAAGATCAGTGGGAAGAGGTAGGTGGGGCAGGGCAATATCACTCACAGAGCCTGACTGGTAGGTGAATGTGCGGCGCCGGTGAAAGAAGTTCTTCTTGATGAGGAAAAGGGCCAGCAGGGCAAAGAGTATGGTCACACAGGTGACGGAGACAGAGCCCACAATGGCCAAGAGCAACTGCTGGTCCAGGTTGGATGGAGGCAAGTTCTGGCTCCCCAAGGTGGGCACTTGGCTCAGGGCTCCTGCGGGAAAGAGGGAAGCAGTGCGTTTTGTAACAGGGCCTGGCTCTGCGATGAAGGAGGAGAAGGCAACTGCACAACATGATAGAGATGCAGAACCACTGCCATGAGTGGACTCTATGACTGTTCTGCCTCCCAGGGTAGATCAGTGCTCCAGGCCAAGGTGGCTGCTGCTGCTGCTGTGGTTTGCCAGGAGCCAGTTGCACCTGCATCCTGGCTGGCCTGCATTTTGACTGTAGGAATCACAGAGGCATCTTCACGAACATTACTTGCCTCCTGTCCCACTCAGACCCCACCCACTGGGACAGCCAACCAAACTTGCCCCTGGTCCACTCACCATCACCCACGATCTCAACTCTCACAGGCTTGCTCCACTCGCCTGGCACAAAGGAGCTGGCTCGCACCCGGAACTGGTAGAACGCGCTGGTGTTCAGCCCTGCAATGATCTTTGTGGTATCCCAGCCGTTGTCCGTGTCCATCCACTGTGGCTCACTGGTACCCCCCAGCTGTTGCACCTCCACAATGTACTTGTTGATGCCACCATTGGGGTACTCAGGGGGCAGCCAGGTGAGCTTGACAGTGCTGTCAGCAAGGGGCTCCGCTGAGAGAGACCGTGGGGATGAGGGACCTGGGAGGCAAGTGGTACAGCTGTTGGCTCTGCAATTGTGACCTGTTCCACAACTGCTAGGAACGCAGTCTGTGGCTTGGCGGACAGTGCAGTTGTGGACCTATTAGGCATAGGCATGAGAGGACATTGGTCAGCAGAGTTACTACGATGCCAAGAAACAATGAGCAAGCCGTAGGTTTGTCCCTGAGGCACCCCCCAGTCTTCAAGGGCAACACATGTGCTAATGCTTCCTGAGGAGTTTACAGAGGTTCAAAGCCTCTTGGAAGAAAATAGAAATCCCTGCAAAATAGGAGGCACCTTAGAGCCCACAACACATAACACCATGCCAAGGCAAGTAACGTAATTAGATTTTAGACCTGTCTACCAAGAAGGCAAGAGCATCAAGCCGGTTGGGACATCTCTGACATAGTACTTGTTCTGTAAGGGATCACCTGGGAGTAAAACCTTGCAGAGGCCACCCACCCCAGAGTCATTGATCGCCCAGCCCTGCTCCCTTCTGAGAGTGGCAGATTTCTCCCAGGTGGTACATCCCGTTGCCCACCTTTGCTGTCAATCTTGACCTTGTAGAGGTCAGATGGAGGTCCGAGGCTGGTGCAGTGATAGACCAGCACCACCAGACTGTACTCCTTGTTGAATTTAAGGTTTGGAATGTAGGCAGACTGCACAATCATGGAAGTGATGTTTTCCTGATGGACGAGCTCCTTGGCTGCATCATAGAGCTGGACGAGGAACCCAGAGCCCACAGTGTCACCACCGGGCAGGTTCCAGTTCACATGCAACGTGTTGCTCCCTTCAACAAATGAGCGTTCAATCACAGGCTTGGCTGTTGGCTCTGTGTGGAATAGAGAAACAAGAAGCCATCAGCCTGATTCTCTTGCCAACAGCACCGAAGTTAAGTTGTTAACCTGGTTTATCCACATGTTAAGTGTCTTAACACACACACACACACATACCTCAAAGTAAACTTTATACAGTCATATACTGTGACAGAAGGCAGTTGGATCCCTGAGGTGGGAAGAGGTTGGGCTACTCATCTATAGGGCACTGAAATTTTGTTCTCCAACCAGAGGAGGTAGTGGCAGAAACAGGGCACTTAGCTGGTCTCTGTAGAATACCAGAGTAGGTATTTGTACAATCTCTACTGGTTAATCTCTACTGACTGGAAGGATGGCTGAAGAAGACCCATATGGGAACCAGGATATCAGAAACTGTAGCCATCCTTAGCACTACTCATATGCCTACTACAGAATCTACTTCTTTCGGTTTGGGCATTCTTCATCTCCCCACTTCCCAGATTTGGCTCACTGAACTTCAGGTACTCACCTTGGCACTCTGTTACCATGACAGCGTGAGGGCCTGGGTCACCTTCCCCTCCATCTCCAGGGCGTGTTAGCTGAACCTTAACAAGGTAGGCTGTGACAGGTCGCAGGTTCATTAGGGTGATGTTCTGAGCATGGTCAACTGTTGATCAAATATGGGTCTGTTACTGTAGAGTCTCATGCTGAAGGTTATGCTCCATATTTTTGTTTACTGCAGAGAGCCCACTGCGCAGGGCCTTTTGACTGGGATCTGCAGCTCTGTGACCTTTCCTTTCAGACTAATGTCCCCTCCATTTTCTATTATCTGCTGAACAGATAAGGGACAGGGACTGCTTCATATCCACAGAATACATTTAAAGCACATTCGGAATACATGGCCTTCTCGGTGGTGGAGCCTGCCCTGTGGAAAGCCCTCCCATCAGATGTCAAAGAGATATACAACTATACAACTTTCCGTTGACGTCTGAAGGCAGCCCTATATTGAGAAGTTTTTAATGTCTGGTACATTGCTGTGTTTTGTTATATTCTGCTGTATGCCACTTAGAATGACTGGGGCAACCCAGTTAGATGTGTGGGGTGCAATTAATTAATTAAAATTCCCCCAAAGAATCCTGGAAACTGCAGTTTATTAAGGCAGATGAGAATTGTAGCTGGGGTGGTGGTGGCCTGCAAATCCCAGGATCAAGAGTTGTGCCTAACTTTGGAGCCTGATCTCCTGTTCCTCTTGTAGCATATGCCTGAGAGAATCCTTGTTTCTTCATGATTGGCTGAGCTGAAAATACTTTGCTTCCCTGTTGAGCAGAATCCCCTGGGTCAAGAAGCATTGCTAGTTACTTAAATGACTCAAATGTGTATAAATGCACCGTGTCCCTAGCCGAACTAAGATGTTAGATGGCCGGGGCAATGGGTTCTCACGGGCACTGCACTTCATGGTGTGCCCAGCTGTTCTATAAATATAAAACTTTTTATAAAAAGGAAATGAAGGGGGAAGGGCAGGAGATCTGGGGTCCAGCACAAAAGACCCAGAGCTCAGCCTCCTAGATCAGTGTTTCCCAACCGGTGTTCCGCGGCACACTGGTGTGCCGTGAGACCTTGCCTGGTGTGCCGTGGGAGGGAGGCGGGAGAGGCGGGGCGGCGGCGGCATCTCCTGCTGGATGCAAATCCAAACATGGCGGGCGCCTCCCTCGCTCCTTTGTAGGCGGACCATCGAGAGAGAAAGAAAAGGAGGCGAAAGAGCGAGAGAAGGCGCCTGCGCGGAAAGAGGAGCGAGCAGTGCGCCTGTGCGCCGCGGCGCCCGAGATCGCTTCTCCCCACCGCCCCTTGCTTCAAAAGAGGTCCGGGGACAGCGGGAAGCGCTTCGCGCTGCCCCCGGACCTCTTTTGAAGCAAGGCTTTGCGGGGAGAAGCGATCTCCCCGCAGCCCCTTGCTTCAAAAGAGGTCCGGGGGCAGCGGGAAGCGCAGCGCTTCTTCCCCGCTGCCCCCGGACCTCTTTTGAAGCAAGGGGCTGCGGGGAGATCGCTTCTCCCGGTGCTCCGAAGCGGGGCGGGGGAGCGGGAACACCTGCCCCAGCCGCCCCGCTTCGGAACGCTGCTCCGAAGCGGGGCAGTGGGGCGGGAACACCTGCCCCAGCCGCCCCGCTTCGGAGCGCTGCTCCGAAGCGGGGCGGTGGGGCGGGAACCTCGCACCCCGCCGCCGGGCATCGGAACGATGCCCCGATGCCGGGCGGTGGGGCGGGAACCTCTCCCCCCGCCGCCGGGCATCGGAACGATGCCCCGATGCCGGGCGGTGGGGCGGGAACCTCGCACCCCGCCGCCCGGCATCGGAACGATGCCCCAATGCCGGGCGGTGGGGCGGGAACCTCGCACCCCGCCGCCGGGCATCGGAACGAGGTCCTGGACCTCTTCTGAAGGCAGGCGGGGGCAAAAGTCTTTGCTCCCCCCGCCTGCCTTCCCGGGACAGCGGAGACTTCTCCGCTGCCCCGGGCGATCTTAAAATGCTGGCGGGCGGGAGCGAAGCGTTCGCTGCCGACCCCCAGCATTTTAAAATCTCCTCGGGGCAGCGGAGACTTCGCTCCCGCCCGCCAGCATTTTAAAATCGCCCCGGGACAGCAGGGGCTTTTAAAATGCTGGCGGTCAGCAGCAAAGCCCTCCTGTCCCCGGAGCTTGCGGGGCAGGAGGTGGGAAGAAGGGATTTCTTCCCACCGCCAGCCTTCAGAACAGCCTTCTGAAGGCTGGCAGTGGGAAGAAAAGCCCTTGTCCCCCCCCCAGCCTTCAGAAGAGGTCGGGGGACAGACTGTCCCCGGACCTGGTCTGAAGGCGGTTTCCCTAGGAACGCATTAATTGATTTTCAATGCATTCCTATGGGAAACCGTGCATCGCAAGACGAAAAACTCGCAAGACGAAGAGACTTGCGGAACGAATTAATTTCGTCTTGCGAGGCACAACTGTACTTTTTATATAGTCAATATAGGCACAGAGTTAAATTTTTTAACATTTTCTAATGGTGGTGTGCCTCGAGATTTTTTTCATGAAAGAAGTGTGCCTTTGCCCAAAAAAGGTTGGGAAACACTGTCCTAGATCACCTGCTCACAACACTCCTGTCTGGATTGCTTTCTGTATAGTTGAAAAGAACTGAAGCCAGAGCAGGCACAGGTTTGAGAGAGCCCTGCAGATTTAAGAGAGCACACAAATTAGAGCGACAGCTCCATCTGGATTACAGCAAACCCCTTACCTACAATGGATGACCACTGAGAAGTGCCAGTTTGGGGCTTGTACAGAACCTTGATGGAGATGATGGGTCCATCACCTGAGACGCGCCCCACAGGCGATATCACAAGCTGCCGACTCTGCTTGGCCAGAAGCCTGGGAGGGCTTAGTGGCATGGGAGGCACTAAGGAAGGGAACAGCGTCAATCACAAGCCAGGCAAACATGAAAGTAGACAAAGGGATTGCACATTTTACCTCTGCCCTTGAGAGAAAGATGACTGCAACTATTAGGACAGATTTGCACCAGATGTTTCTCATGCGATATTTTCCTGATTGGTACCTGGCACAATCCTAGTTCCTGTCTCTGATTTATGCTCTCCTTCTAGGTTTCTTTGCTTGAAAACTAGCACCACATTTAAAGAGGCATCAGAACCTCATTTTGCCTGGACAAGAACTGCAGAATATCTTAGGAGGGGTACTAAAATAAAAACTGTGTGGCAACATTTCAGTAACCGAGTTCTGTACAACCAAAGATGCTTCCTGTGATGATTTTGTAATTCCCAGAAGCTGAGCATGAATATCTCTAACCCTGAAATCTCACCACCTGTACTGTCCTGCTCACCTTTCACAGTGACCTTGAACTTGCCACTGTCCTGCCCACCCGTAGTGGAGACACGGCATTCCCAGAGGCTAGTGTCAGAGAGGACCAGCGGTGGCACTTGAAATTCACAGGTTGTCAAGTCTTTTTCCATGATGGCTTTCAGAGACTGGAGAGGTGAGAAGAGTAGAGTCATATCCTGTCTCAAGTCTTCTGTTTCTGAGTATTTGTGGGGAACCACAGTCCCATGGGATGCAGGTAGGGTTGACAACTGACCTAGCCCCATCCTTACTAGTACCAACACGGAAGGGAATAGATCACATGCAATTATATAAACAGAAGGAAAAGTGGTGTCAGGACAATTGGACTGCTATGCTAAAGCACTTGTGCTTAAGCACCCAAATACTTGCATAATTAACATAACCTCTAGTTTGATCCTGATTTATCTTCCTCACGTGTGAACAGAGGTAGGGTTGCAAACCCACACAAAGAAACCCAATTTAACACCGTGTGCTTATCTATATCTGGGTGACACCCAATTTAACACCCTGTGCTCATAGATTGATCTGGGTGAAAGGGAGATTACAGAGAGAAAAAGACCGAAAGGTATGAGTAGGGTGAGAGCAAGTTGGGGCTAGAGAGGCAGAGGGAAGAGCAAGCCCAGGTCTCTGGGATGGTACAGGGCCTGATCCAGGACATGATGGTAGCTTACCATGATCACTGTTCCATCAGCCTTGCGCAGTTCAATGTTTTCACGCACAGGGATTGGATTGCCTGTTGCCATGCAGGTAATTACAGGCTGGGAGCCTAAGTTAAACTCCAAGTGAGAGACCAAGTTCTTGATCTGGGGGATCCGATCTTAGCACAGAACACCAGAATAAGGATAAAACATCATTACAATCGTAATAAAATAGCATTTTTTAAAAGGGCAATATGATATTTATTCCTTGCCTCCCTTTATCTCTAGGTGGCAGACAACGGCTAACCACTATGCAGCACCCTCTCCATTCATGTACTCGTTTGGCAGTTCTCTGGCACTGGGCCTGGCTCCTGCCATTCCCATGATACACAATCCAGAGTGCTTTTACCTGACTTTTCACAGTGCTGTCCATGCCAACCAGATGGGCAAATGCAGCCACTGAACCGGTTACAGGTGCCTCCATTCTGGCAATGACACTCCAGGGCACAGTCAGCGCCGTACCTCCCAGAGGAGCAAGCTGGGGAAAGAGCACAGGGATCGCGGGTCAATCTCCTCTGACCATTTCCCAGAGACTGGGGCTGCATACAAGCAATGCGTTTAAGGCACAGTCAAAACACACACTCGGAATTATAGTTGAATAAGGGTGCTGGGAATAGTAACTCTGTTAAGGGCAAACTATAATTCCTAAGATTCTTTGGGGAGGGACAGGCTTTGAATGGCCTTTAAAGGCATAGTGTGTGTGCCTGGGTCAAGGATGTCTGGCAGATTTCATGTATGCTGCTTTTAACCCGTCTCCCATTGTAAGTTTGCAGGCACGTAAAACCACAAAGCAGTTTTAAATGCGCTGGCTTCCTTTTTAAAAAAATGGATTTGGTCACCTCCAGAATGTCATTGATTTTACTAGGGAGATTCAATTGCATGCCAGAAATGTAGGTTTGCAGAACTGAAGTAGATTAAAGTGCTCTGTTGCAACAAACCCACTTTTACAAATAACAAGAAAGGAGACTTTTTGAGATTTGGAAAATGATGGGGGCGGGGCGGGGGAGCGGAATGCACTGAAAAATGTGCATAACAATAGATGGATGGGAAGACGTCTAACCTTCACACAAACAATTCCCACTGTCATATATCCTCCCTACAAACATGTCAGAATGAATGCTCAATAATGGGTAGGCATCATACAAACTTTGTACTGGTTATATGATGCCCGTTCTTTATTGTACTCTGTGGAAGTAAACCAGGAAGAATGCTAAACGAACAGCTCAGTCTGGAGGAGCCTTTTCTCTTTGCTATGGAGCTTCCTGCTCATGCGAACCCCCTTTTTCTTTTGGTTTGTTGGAGCCAAGCAGGAGGGAAATGATTCTAAAGAAACAAAGGGAGGAAGCGGCTCTCTCCTGGATACAAGCCAAACAGAGTCCCAGCAGAGAAAGTAGCCAAAACCGAATAAAAATACTAAGGAATACTGTGAGTCTGAGATGAAGGGAGGGTTCTTGAACATCTTTTCCATGTAAAGATGTTCAGGAAACAATGTGACTATGCTCTTTGTTGGTAGTAACAACAATGAAACCACAAGTTTGCACTCTGGTTACGCGATTTAATGAAATTTGCCTTCCTCAGTACTGTTCCAATATCCATGGTTCCTCCTTGCCACCCCTGTAGGAGCTCTTCTTTCCCATGGCTTCATTACGTCTCACTTTCTGAGAGATCACATGACCCCAATTCTCATACAGTATTACCTTTTTCACAATGATTACAGTGTTGATTTCACATAAGCACTGTTTCCCCACCCTGAACCCTCCCTTGTGTGCTGAGGACTGGCACTTGTTGTATCAAGAAAAATTCTAGGATTTGAATGAGACTTGGTAAACATTAGGTTTCTCAAGGTAATGCCTTTTCACAAGTAATTTTTACGATGTGAAACAGACAAGGGTAAAAACACCACCTCATGGTAACATTACCCTATCCAAAAGTAACATGTTAATCAGATCTGATGTCACATTACATTTATATATATGTATCCCTATTGCTGCTCTGGGGTGGCGGGTGGTGCTGTAGGTAAAAGCCTCAGCGCCTAGGGCTTGCCGATCGAAAGGTCGGCGGTTCAAATCCCCGCAGCGGGGTGCGCTCCCGTTGCTCGGTCCCAGCGCCTGCCAACCTAGCAGTTCGAAAGCACCCCCGGGTGCAAGTAGATAGATAGGGACCGCTTACTAGCGGGAAGGTAAACGGCGTTTCCGTGTGTGGCTCTGGCTCGCCAGAGCAGCGATGTCACGCTGGCCACGTGACCCGGAAGTGTCTCCGGACAGTGCTGGCCCCCGGCCTCTTGAGTGAGATGGGCGCACAACCCTAGAGTCTGTCAAGACTGGCCCGTACGGGCAGGGGTACCTTTACCTTTATTGCTGCTCTGAACACATAGAAGAAGTCAGAAGCTTCAGTTTAGCAAGAAATAAATCACATGATGGCCATGTGGGTGGGGAGCTACCACACCCTTCTAAAGAAAGACATGGGTGTTATTCAGCTATGTTTTACTCTGAATAGACCTATTGTAATTAATGGACCAAAGTTAAGCCATTTTTACTATTTAAAAATACTACATGAAAATTTGATGGTGGTGCATGAGAGAGTCTTTATCATTTCCTCCCCAACTCTGGAGTTTGTTTTCCCTGGAAGCCCAGGCGGCAGAGACTCTGGTTGCTTTCAGACAACCTGCTTGTTGAGCATTCATCCTGATTTGTTTGCACAAAATTTGTGGGGAGATTAGATGACGCCCAATATTTATTGAGCGTTTATTCTGATTCAGTTGCAGGGAGCTTATACAACTTTGAATCAAGCAATCCCAGTGCATTCTCCATCACTTTCCTTAATGCAAAAAGTCTAATACGGTGAGGCCTTCCGGTAAACTATAATTACGCAACCTGAATTTGCTGGTATGGAATTGAATCCCACCCGAAAATAGTGACAATCTGGGAGTGCCCTAAATTTGGCTTCCGCTGACAGGTAAAAACAATTTTATTCTCCTGGTTTTTTATGTTAACTAGTAGCCACCAGTTTGCCTCATTCGGTTGCTCTGTTACTGTTTTATTAATTGGATTATTTTAACATTTAATTTTCTTTCCTCGGTGTGTTTTTATGTATTGTTGGAAACTGCCCTAATGAAGGGTGGCCTACAAGTTTGCGCCCCAAGCATTACATGAGGGTTGTCTTTATGCTGCCAAATGTAACATGGAAAGCAAGGGGAAAGGAAGCACAGAGTTGCTTTGGTTCTGTGGAACAGACACCATACACTTGCATCTCGTGCCTTTCTAAGTAGGTCAGCTTCCCCCACCTCCCCATCTCATTTATCACCTTGGTGTCCAAAAGTGTCATAGAGTTGGGAGAAAGAGACTGCAGGGGACATACCTGAGCCACACTGAAGACCACTCCATCCAGTAGCACAGGAACAGCCATAAGGATCAGGCAGGCAGAAGGCCAGCCCCTTGCAGCCTTGCTTGTTATGACATTTCTCCTGGCAGTTTCGCCCAAACATGCCTTCCTTACAAGCTGCAAGGCAAGAAGATTCTTGTCAGGGATTTGCTGCCACTGTACTGACAAAGCCACACATGTTCACCAACCCTGCACCACATTTGTTCCTTCCTGTGTCCCTATCTGCACACAATCAGAACGAATCCTACAATGAATCCATAATTCCTCTTTATTGTGATGCCAGGTTTCTCCACTGTGATCTCTGTACCTTTTCTCACACAACACCAGTTGATCCCTCTGCAGAGATAAGGGACTTGGGACTCGAGATGTGAAAGAAGAAGAAGAAGAAGAAGAAGAAGAAGAGTTTGGATTTGATATCCCGCCTTTCACTCCCCTTCAGGAGTCTCAAAGCGGCTAACAAAGCTATTTGGGACTCCATGGCCTTCTACCCACGCTTCATTGCCTAAGGCAGAGGCTTCAAGGCAGGTTTCAAATGGCAACCATCTATACTCTTTGTGAAGATTTACAAGTTCAGTTCATGGAGCAGAGGAATCTCTTCCTACCAAGACCATGTACACATTGCTTCTAACCTTTTTCACAGCGGGTGCCCATGAAGCCTGGTGGACAGATGCATTCTCCCTCAATATGGTGGCAGATGCCTCCATTCAGGCAGTCGGGACAGTCCTTGTCACAAGAAGAGCCCCATTTCTTGGCCGCACATCCTGGGAGGTTGGGAAGAGACAGACAGACAATTATTGCCTGAATGCACAGGAGGCCACTGCTTTAATGAAACTAGGCAGGTCTGGTTCTGGTCACTGCCTTGAGTGCCATGACGGAAGAAAGGCAGGACAGAAACATAAAATAATAAAATAAAATTTAAAGAAGATTTGGAAGGAAGCCTGATCTCTGGACAGCACGAGGCAGCATTAACCACAGTGCAGTCATTAACAGTCTCCAACAGCCACTATGCTCAGGGCAAGTTCACACCTATGTGTTCATTACCCTCTGGCAGCAACTTAAAGTGACGCCTGGCATATGGGTAAAGAGGCACCACAGAGAAAGCCTTCTTATGATCTCAAACAATAGTTTTTAATAGAAGCTGTACATGTTCAGCTGGGAGTCTTTAAATGATGAGACACTGAATAAAACCCACCCCATAACAAAGGATGTAAACAGACGTTAGTGGGGACGTCCGTGGCTCCTATTGACCTGCATCTCTTCAGTTCTGCACTATCTTACCTCGCACAATCAGCCGGAAGAAGGCACTTGACAAAGGACTGTCCCCAATGAATGTAGCGCTGTAAATCCCACCGTCACTCACGCTGACAGGCGACAGGGTCAGAGTGGACTGGCTCTCCTTCACCTCCCCCTGGTCCTTGGTGTCATAGTAGGTCCCTGCAAATGAAAGTGGCAGGGAGGAAGAAAAGCATGAGAGCTGACAACTGAACTCTGAATAAGCCCTACTAAGGCTAATCCACTCCAGCCTGTGACTGGCCTGGATAGGGCTTAGAGGCTCCTGCAACCTCTAATGACATCACTGACAGAGCAGTCTGGGTAAGAAAAGAACTGAGGAAGCACAAAGGCATCCAGCTGCAAGCCCACTGGCAGGTCTGGGCCTAGACTGCCAGCTTCGATTGACAAGGATGACTGAGGGCGGCCCTTGTTCCAGGAATGGGGTGGGGAAGCATTGGAGCAGGGGCAGATCTCCCCAAAGCCGTGCAGCTGGGAGAGGGGGGCACTTGCCATTCCTTTTCCACAAAATGTCTGCATTCTTCCCGTGCTTTATCTTGGCAACAAGTACAGCTGGCTGGGAGAGGCTGAATGTCTGTGTCACTTTCTCTGGGACGAGGTTGGCTGCAGGGTCAGACAGAAACAGAGACTGGGTTAGGAAGCAGGACCTGCAATATTTTCTCTTCCCTGATCATCAGAGGGTCATGCTCTGGATTGCCCAGATCTGTCATTCCATCTTTGTCTGGGATTTCCAGAACTCACCTAAGCACTTCATCCTGCTCAACATGTATATTTGCCTATTTTACTCTATTTATTTAATGGAATCTGTATACCACTTAATTAGGGGGGGAACTCCAATCGGTTTAGCTGAAATAAAAAATACATTAAAATTATTGATAGAAGTCAGATTTGAAGCCAATTTAACCTTAAAAATAATAATAAAGGAGCAGTTAAAACTACACATTATAAAATAAAGTTAAAATATTATACACGTGTCATATATAAAATACATGTCAGTTTCACTAATCTGGGTAGGCTTGTCTAAACAAAAAAGTTTTTAATGGCTACAGAAAATAACACAGCTAAGATGCCTGCCTAATGTCAATGGGCAGGAAGTTCCAGAGTGCAAAGGCCGCCAGGCTAAAAGATCAAATCCTTACAAGGGTGGAACAAACTGTGTGTGGCATTTTCTACACATATTGCAAGGGGAAAGGTGAGCATGTAGGCTTAGTGCAGGTACTAACTCACAGTGTCCAGAACAAAATAAATAAATAAATAAATAAATAAATAAATAATATATTTATACCCCACCCATCTGGCTGAGTTTCCCCAGCCACTCTGGGCGGCTCCCAATCAAGTGTTAAAAACAGTACAGCATTAAATATTAAAAACTTCCCTGAAAATAATAATAATAATAATAATAATAATAATAATAATAATAATAATATTGTTTATACCCCGCCCATCTGGGCAGCTTCCAACAAAATATTAAAATACAACAAGTGAGGTGAAGGTTGATGTGCCCATTTTAGGTAATGTTAGGGTTAGGATTGTTCTGCATCTTATTGTTAACGTCATCCTTATTCTTCTTTCCAAACCCTCCATTATGAGCATATCTCCCAAAGTCATGCTTTAAATTGTATCTGTAACAAAGCCTGGATTTCCAGTGGTGTCTTTGTTCTGCCTCACCCAAATCAATGTTTATCATACTTCAAAGGCCTTCTAAGATAAGAAAATCTAGTCAATTTTCAGATATTCTTCCTGGGTTCTTTGTTTAAATTATCTGACTGATGTCTCTTTTCCTGGCAATAAGAATCGCTCAAATGACTAATGACTGACTAGCACCATAGCATCCAGGAATTCTTTTGTAGTAGGATGCCAGGGAAAATGTGTGCCCTTAAGTTCATAGAATTATAGAAATGCAGGAATCTCAACTAAAGCATCCAAGACAAATACCCTATTTGCTGCATGTTTAGATCTGTCTATGCAATTCTATGAGTACTAGTAGGCAACAGTTATGAAAATCATATACAGTGGTACCTTGGTTCTCAAATGCCTTGGTACTCAAACAACTTGGAACCCAAACACTGCAAACCCAGAAGTAAGTGTTCCAGTTTGCGAACTTTTTCAGAAGCCAGATGTGTTCCGTTTTGAGTGCCACACTTCCATTTTGAGTGTTGCGCTGAGGTCTGTCTGTTTTTGCGGCTTTTTTGTTTGTTTTGTTTTTGTGACTGTGTGGAATCCAGTTCAGAGTTCAGCTACTGATTGATTTATTGTGTGACTGCAGCACATTGTCTATTGCTTTTATGGATCAATGATCTTGTTAGATAGTAAAATTCATGCTAAATTGCTGTTTTAGGGGTTGTTTTAAAAGCCTGGAACGGATTAATCCATTTTGCATTACTTTCTATGGGAAAGTGCGCCTTGGTTTTGGAACACTTTGGTTTTGGAATGGACTTCCGGAATGGATTAAGTTTGAGAACTAAGGTACCACTGTATATAAATAAATAAAATATGCCAGAATCCCTTCCACAGATGTCGGCAGGAATTTTTTTTCCAGCAAGGGGACAAAGTAAATACTACAAACAAACAAATAAACAAACCTAGTATTAGAGAACAGGTCTGCCATTTCTGGTAAGACCAGTGACTAGGAGTGGCTCACCCATTGGGGTGGAGCTACAATAGCCTCTTGGCAGTGATATCACTGGCAGTCATTCTTGTGCATCTATGCAGCCATGCCTTCACAGCCATCTTCCCCCTGCCAGTAAGTAGCAATGGTGCCCTTTCCATGAGGCTATTGCTGTGGGTCTGCTTCTGCTGGTGACCGAGTGGTGACAAGACCTAGGTAGACCCGTCTTCAGAGAAATTTCCAGGTCTTCCTCTTTGCTGTGGATCTCCTTTTCATCTATGGGCAGACTGGCATACAGACAACATCTTTTCCCACTCACTGCTGAGACCTGCTGTTTTTTCTCTAGCTTCTTTCACCCATTCCTCTTTTTAAAACCCAGCCAGAAACCCAGCCAGAGGGCAGGGTGGGTATGTATGTATGAATGAATGAATGAATGAATGAATGAATAAATAAATAAATAAATACATTGCATTGCTGCTGCAATCAATTTCACACACACACCCCAATACACATTTATCTGGCTGGGCCTAAAATGAAATGAATTCCCTAGATTGATTAATACTCATTTTTCCTTTTTCCTTGTCCTGGTAAGCAAACAAATTGAAAGAATGACCCCAGGGTCTGGGTCTGAGGAGGGTATAGAGAGAAGACTCCATTACCATAGCCTTGGTCTTATCACAATGATGTAAGGACCTAACATTGAGAAAGAATAACTTCAAAGTACATATCACTCACAGTTCTCAGAAACCTGCATATTATCTGCATATTATCTTTTCCAGTGTCATGTTGAATCTCTCTCAAGCTTACCATCTGCATTGTTGTGCACATAAACCACCCTGGTTTGTTCTGACTCAGTCTGCCCCAAGCAGTACGTGATGCCCACCAGGTCTGACCGGGAGAAGCCGCTCATTTGCACTGCATGGCTGCTGTTCTTGTAGATCTGGAATCTGGACCTGGGGTGGGTCATGACAATTTTATTGTCTCTGTCAATCTGGAGGCTGGCATTTCGCTCACCAGTCACACACGAGAGGTAGAAGTTGGTGTGTGAGGGACTCAAGACGTTGGCCATCAGGGTGATATCCATAATTGCTCCTGCGTCAGAAGAACAAGAGAAGGTGTTATTTTAGGACAGGGAGAGCAAAGGATCTCAGCATAATTCACACAATCGAAGCCAGGCCTTGCCTAGGTTCTAGAAGAAGAGCAGGGAACTCTCCCACTGTGAGGGCCAGCTTCACTCAGGTGAAAGTAGCCAGGGACTGCTTATCTGTGACATACTTGTGTTTCCTCTTCATGAAAGTAACATTTGAAGCTATGTGCTTTCTTTCAACGGATATAAACTTCAGTTGTTCCTATTTAACAGGGACATTTTCTCTAGTAAATCCCTAGTAAATCCCATCCCTCTGGGAAGAGCCACTGAACGTAGAATCTTTGTTGATAAGTTGAATATGTATACGTATACCTAATTGCTTACATCTAATAACAGATACTGTGCGTAGAACTGTTTTGTATTTGTGTGTGTGTGCGCACACACACAAATTCTTTTAATACAAAGGTACAGTGGATGGTGCTCAACCTCTGTTGCCATTTCAACAACACAGCAGGAAGTTCTTATCTAATATGTTAAAAACAATATTATTATTCCGTCTCGGGACACATACAGTACAGGTCTGAAAACAAATCATTATACCACCACTTAAAATATTTATCCGTGTATTTGTTTGAATTTGGAAAGGAACATAGAGATCGCTTGTATGATGAGATAGCACATAGGCTATTATTTTGTCAATTATGACAAAATCCCTACATGTTAAGCATGCCTTCTTCTGTCTACATGTACATACATCACAATACACAAATGTAAACACACCATGTGACAATCAATGTGTTTGTCACACATTATTTCCAGCACAGAAATCCAGAAATCTTTTCAGGAATAACAATGATGCTATTACCAGAATACTTCTATTACACACTATATATTCTGGAATGCCACCCTTATATTTGAATTGATCAGATTGTCTCTCTCATTATGCTTGTGTGACCCTGAAGGCTTGCAACTCTTATTAACCTTTCTTCGATATGATGTTCTGATGTCACTTTTCAGAAAACAGCTAATTATATTCTGATGAAACACAGAAGACGTTGCCCTTCTGCTGTTTCATTTCGTTTCATTTCACAGTATGGGTTAACCCTTTTACCTGTGCTATTTTCCCAATGGAAAATCCACCCTACCCACCTCAGAAGCTATTTCCTGTGTTAGTAAGAAACATGTGAGCACACAGGCTTGCATATAGCTTCAATGCACAAACTTAGCTAGAGAGCAGGGCTATAAATAATCCATTTGTGGCCTTTTGGGACTGGATACACACAATAGCTTTTTCCAGGCTATGATGGTATGAGACAGACATGATGTGTCCACTCGTTGCAATCTCTCTTATGAGGAAAAGGGATTCATGGGGCATTGCAGTGGTTCGAAACTCTGCAAGATTTATCTGAAGATTTATGCTGATGACACCCAACTCTATCTGTTGATGGATGGCCATCCTGACTCGGCCCCAGACACACTGACCAGATGTCTGGAAGCTGTGGCTGGATGGTTACGTGGGAGCCGGTTGAAGTTAAATCCTGCGAAGACAGAGGTCCTCTGGCTGGGGCGGGACGATATGGGATCGAGGGGGCAACTCCCATCTCTTGCGGGGGTGCAATTGGTGCCAGCACCGTCCGTTAAGAGTCTGGGTGTAATCTTCGATACCTCCCTCTCTATGGAGGCGCAGATTACAGCTATAACAAAGGCGGCATTTTTCCATCTCCGCCAAGCTAAGCAGTTGGCCCCTTATCTCTCTCGCCCTGACCTAGCCACTGTGATCCATGCGACGGTCACCTCCAGACTGGATTATTGTAACTCGCTCTACGTGGGGCTGCCCTTGAGACTGACCCAGAAACTCCAGCGGGTACAGAATGCCGCAGCGAGACTCCTTACGGGGTCCTCGCTGCGAGATCACATTCACCCGGTGCTATACCACCTGCACTGGCTCCCGGTGGAGTATAGGATCAGGTTTAAGGTGCTGGTTTTAACCTTTAAAGCCCTATACGGCCTAGGACCCTCGTACCTACAGGATCGCCTCTCCTGGTATGCCCCACAGAGAGACCTACGGTCTGTAAATAAAAACATCCTCAAGGTCCCAGGCCTCAGAGAGGTTAGGCTGGCCTCAACTAGAGCCAGGGCCTTCTCGGCTGCGGCTCCAATCTGGTGGAATGCTCTGTCACAAGAGACTAGGGCCCTGCGGGACCTGACATCTTTCCGCAGGGCCTGCAAGACAGAGTTGTTCCACCAGGCCTTTGGTCAGGGCGCAGCCTGACTCCCTCCTCTGGCAACCTGCACAGTATTTTGGTTGCCATCAATTTGATTTTAATTAATTTTTATAATGAAATATTTTAGAATGTGTGATTATTCAACTATTTGGTTATTTGATTGTTGTTAGCCGCCCTGAGCCCAGCTTCGGCTGGGGAGGGCGGGATATAAATAAAATTTATTATTATTATTATGAACAGAGACAAAAGAAATGTGCATGTAAACCCAAGCCAACAATGTCTGTATCACCCAATTTTCCTGTAACAACTGCGTTCAGCCATATGGTGGTTCTTTCTATCACCCAAGAGTGTGTTTGTAGCACAAATGGCGGTCAGAATGATATCAAAGCACCCACTGCCCATGGAATACCACTGACGGGCATTACCAAAACTGCTTTTCTTCCATTCTCTATTCATTGTATTCCATGCCTGGATGGAAAAGGTTGGAGATGGCCATGGAATTCAGTCTTTGTGAATACAGACTAACCTGATCTACACCTTCCAGACCAATCTTCAGATCAGAACTTAGTTACCCATCAGCTCTTCACGTTCCCCAAATGCTCCATCACAGACTTTATCTCAGCAACAGCATTAAAATATGTTTAAAAGTGTGAATTTTAAAAGAAAATATGTCTACGGACCCCTGCAGATGTCCTTTTTATTTCATATTCATGATTATTGGCGATCATGATGCTGTTGGGACTGTCAACCATAATTCTGCTTTCAATACTGTTTTGGCCTGCAGAAGTTTTGGGGTGGTCACCCAGCTTCATTTGCAATCAGTGCATATCCTGCCACTGCCTGTTGAAATCGTGTAACTATTTATACCACAAATGTTCTAGTTCATTTTTGTCCTGCTTTTCCTGCGCTATAACCTTCCTGGACAACAATAATGTGGTAGCACTGGGGAAGCATCACAAAGAACAAACTAGGAAATAGGGGAAAAAATAATCCACTAATAACACACTATTTTTGTGTCCAGAACATGTTGCAGAAGACACTCACGATGGAACACTAGTATTGGAGGAGCCCTCAAATATGTATCTAGATGTGGAACTCCATGTAGTTTTTTAAAACTAAAACAACAACACCACACACATATATAAGAGATTAATGTGAAAATGGGATAGAAAAGACTTATGAGTGCACTCATGCAAAAAAAATGACACAGATCAGAAATTGAATGATTTGTCCATTGCTCACCATATGGCTAAGATTTTCCACTCTTAGTTGGGAGAGACAAAGAGGATGTTGCAGAAACAGCACATGGGTCTGCAAATAACAGCATCTCTGAAAACGTTTAAATCCCAGACCTACCATTCTGGTGGCACCAGGGGTTCCTCACCCAGAGCCCAATTAACCAGGGCTGACTACTGCTGAGGGTGGTCAACCTGATTCAAATACTGGTCCTGTTGGTAGCTAATGCAGCATCTACACATGAAGCAATGCAGCACAACAAAGGTGGGTGTTCAGAGAGCTCAGAACAAGATTTCCCCCTTTGCATGCCATTCAAGGTTTCTCCCAGTACTGCCTGTAATTGTTGGGTATTTTCATAGTGGTCCCCCAATTTGCTGAGTAGACAACAGGCTGACGCATCAGACGGTAGTATACCCTTAATTGGATATACGCTAATGAATATCAGTATAATTCTAGATAGGAGTAGTTTGTGGCTTCCTGTCCAGAAATTGCCAGATGGGATGGCCATCCCTTTTTTTTTTTATTTAATTTCATAATATTTATGAAAACGAAAACAAACAAAAAAACCTTGAAGTGGTTTACAAAAAGAATAAAACAATAAAATTATCAGTAAAAACGGTTTTTTAAAAGATAATAAAACATTTAAATTAAATTAATTAAAACCAATGATGACCTAAAAGCAGATTAAAATACATCAACCTTCTACCTGTCTGGACAGGCTAGTCTAAATGATGTATTTAACAGACACCAAAAAAAGAGTACAGCGAAGGCACATGCCTGATATCGATAGGCGGGGAGTTCCAAAGATTGGGTGCTGCCACACTAAAAGACTGGTTTCATGCAAATGCGGAACAAGTATTATGTGGCACCGTTCTACTGACACTATGTCCCGGTCTGTTGGACTCCAATAGCATAAGTTCTACCTTGGCACAGAGCTCTGCAAACTTCGCCAAGTTCCATTCTTTCTGCCACCAAAACCAATAGCAACCCACCTCCCACCAACCTGTTAAGGGGGGGGGGGAGGACTTTACCTGCCAGATGCAAGAAGAGAGTTAAAACACAAAGCCTGCCCAGTCTCATTTTCCTGAGTGTACACAGTGTCAGGAGAGCTCAGACATCACGGATCCAGAAAAGGAAAAGACGATGGGGGCATTTGAGTTGTTTTTCATTTGCAGAGTGCGTCCTCTATGCCTGATGCTCCTGTGTCTTCCATTGCTTTGAATGGGTCAGAGTAGCTCGAAAGACGTTTACACACACCCCATGAGGAAGACAGATTCTGGTTCTCTGGTTAGAAAATCCCGCTCCTGCTTTCGGAAGTGTATGTTACGAGCCTCAGGAAAAGAAACTCTGGCTGAGTTTCGGTCCACCTGCTTGGGAGTTCAGATTGTCCCCTCCAAGGCCCTTCCACCCATTCCAGCGCTTTGTTCCCTGCCACGTGTTGTTGCAGAAGAGATTATGACCTGCCTGTTTCTTCCATGCTTGCTTGTAGAGCCTTCCTGGGGTGCTTCAGCCTGGGGTGCACAAACACACAAGCCCAAGCAACCTCTGGGCAGTTCAGGAACTGATTAAGAGTGAGAATGGACTGGGCACAGCAAGAGCTGCGAGTCAGTGGGAAGAGCTTTCTTGGCTGGGATTCAGCCAGAGCAGGAATGGAGTCTGTTGGGGGAGGGATGCTTAGAGGCCCTCACAGACAGCACAGCAATGACATGAAATCCTGTTTCCCATGCACCATTTCCTGCTCTCCACCCATTGTTCCTTGCCTGTCTCTTGCTCCTGCAGGAGGAAGCAATGCACTGGGAGGTTGTTGGACTGAGCTCCCAACGGAGAGAGGCTTGAAATGAAGAGACACCCCATTGGTGTTCAGGGTTCAAGAAACTCCCTTTAGTCATGTTTTCCAAATCCAAGGCTAAGGAACAAACTGCTCCCAGTCTGGGAGAGAAGTGATTTTCTTTCTGCCTCTTTAGATTCTAGTCAGGAACAACAGTTTACTGTTGCTGAGGAAAGAAGGTATCATGGAGTCCTGAAGTTGATTAATCTACAGCCCGGGAAAAACTGTCCGCCTCTGGAAGTTGTGCATGGCTGTGATTACAGCAGGCCTATGAAACTTTTTTTTACACACTACAGGAAACCAGAGACATGCAGATCACAATGGATGGGCAGTACTGCCTTAAGTTCTAGCCCGTCTTGTTGTGCACAAACCATTATTTGTGGATCAGCCAGGTTCACTCATGTACCACAGAGTTATCAAAAGGGAAAGGGGGATGCATGACCCTCTTCTGTGCCAAGTCAAATGAACCTGTTAAAGATGTACTTTCCCAACACTCTGTGGGTCAATTCACATGACCAAATAACTATGATGTCAATATGATCTAAACAGAGGTCAGTACCTGCTGAAGGTTTTATAGGATGATGATAATGGTGGTGATGATTTTGTGGAATTCCCTCCTCACAGAGATGTGTCTGGTAACTTCACTACACAGCTTTCTGCAAATGCTGAAGACACACCTTTGAAACCTGTGATGTTTCTGTGACTAATTTTTTTAACTTTCAAAAATACTGAATTTTAAGTTATTGTAACCCATTCTGGGACCTGCTAGTGAAGGGCAGATAATAAATCATCATCATCATCCATCCTTCCTCCTGAAGGAGGTCCAAGGTAGCAATAGCAAATTATAAAATAAAATAAAAATCTCTAAAAATATTTAAAACATATATTACCACAGTCTGGAAAACACTGCTCCAGGTGACCTTGGGTTCAAGTAAAGCAGTAACTGAAATTAATATGACCACCTATGTTCCATACTGTGAGTTCAGCAACACACTAGTGGGAAAAGTCAGACTGCATCCTTTTCTTTGGGCTGATGGAAACAAAATGGAAGGGTGGGGCAATGAATGGCACCCAGTGAAACATCATCACACATGTAAAAATATATATATATGGTAACATATGATTCTATATTGAATTTTATTCCCTTATTGGATTAGTCACAGATCAGTAAAATCTGGATTTCACAGGGGGAGGGAAGTGAGGGATACTACTTGGGTGAGGGTGCTATTGTGTGGATGCAGCACACATACAAAATAGAAAGACACAAGCAGCTTCGAATCCAGAATAAACTCCAATGTGGATGAGCCCATTATTTGGTAAATGTCCCCATTTATAATTGAAGCCTTGTGGGCAAACTTACTAGACCTGTAATCTTGTGAAATAATATTGAGCTTAACTTTCCCCTTTTGTGACCTGTAGTTCTGCTTTTGTTTAACCCTTACACGTGTGACATGACTGCTTCAGGCTGTTCTCAAAGCTGCACATATACACAGATCACCACATGTGAAATGGTGCATGAATGCAGCTGGATTCATGTATGTGTTCATGAAAAATGGGATGAAGCTTTGTTTGCACGTGTGTCCTGGGGCTGGTAAAACGCTACATGGAGCCTAAACATGGTTGCTTACATTTACAGGGTTGAGGAAGGGTTACTTCCTTATGTTTACCCTCCTAGTGCATAATGTTGCTCTGTGGGACCCCTTTTTTTGTTAGTCTACACAGGATTAAGTTTGGGCCAGGAGGGTGGGAGGAGCTAGACAGAGAACAATAGCAGTCGCCTGTTTGGGTAAATAAATACGCTTAGGAGGAAGTCCAATGCTGCTGCCAAACCACCTTTCCTTAGCCAATTTCTACCCACCTTCCACCTCCTCACTTAAAATGCCCATGAATCAGCAACACAGTCAGGGACACAGCTTATTTCAAGTGTTGCCCAGAAGATGTGTCCCACTCTGGGTTACACAATGTTAATGTACATTGGATGCAGAATTGCAAATATGCTAATATAACCTACTGACTTCAGTTTTCAAAAGTTCTGGAAGCAAGCACCAATTCACGTGTTCCTACAGTAAAATCAGAAATTGCACGAATCCCATCACGTACATTCTCGTGTGTGGTGAACTCACATGGAAGGGTTTATGTGCCGAGGAACTGTGAAACATGTGAAGTGCTCCCACGTTGCATTGCATCATGTGCACAGTGTCTCAGGGCTGACGTCCCAGACACTTTCTTAGAGTTGGCTGTGAAACCTAGCTCTTGAGTCTAGGCTGAGAAGTGTGACCATAGTTCAGAACAATTCCCACACAAAATTTAAGGCCACTTGGAAGAAAGGGAGAAGGGGCTAGGAGGCCTGACAGAAAGTCTGAGAGCACTCTTTATCCTGCTGATAATCTAAAGCAAGCCGGGCCAGGAAGAGGAAAGCCATTCACTGTTTCCGACTATTGACATGGAGCTCAGGAAAGCGGGTACCCCTGCAGAGCACTGGGTGGGTGAATTACAGCAGGCCTGGACTCCCTCTCACCAGAGCCAGTGTTGCCAGCTGCCTGGGGAGGAGTGCCAAAACAGCTCAGCTGAACTCCCTGCATGGGGCATAGCACCACACTCTTTGAAGAATGGGCCACATGACCAAGAGAAATAAGCAACTAAAACAAACAGCGAGAGAGACAGTACCCAACATGAGGCACACTCCAGATGTGGCATAAGAAGGGGGGGGTGCGCTGGGTGCGGTCCGCCCCAGGTGTAATCACTGAGGGGGGTGACAAAATGGCAAAAATATGTGTTTTTAAAATAAAATTTTAAAAATTGGGCTCACGACCTTTTTGGGGGAAAATAACTCCCGCACCCACCACCCACCTCTTCCTACGCCACTGGTAGCTAGGTGAGGCAGAGGGCACTGGGTGCCACACCGTGGGTCCTGCAGCGTGCGTGAGCCATGCGTCTCTCCTGAAGGGGAAGCAGTGGGCAGACTGCCTGCAAGCGCTGCGCTGCTTTTTCGAGTAGCACAGGGCTTGTGGCTGCCCACTGCACCCTACGGCTGAGGAGGAGGCTGCAGAGAGGCTCCAAGCAGCGCGCCCTGCCTTGGCTCGCCCCGCCGCCATGGGTAGCTCGCCGCACCCCTGGCTGCAGGATGCACGCGCCACACCGGGCACCCAAGTGGCTAGCTACGCCACTGCACCCCAGTGTAAGATTACCTGGGGAATAAATGCCATAGGGTTGTGGCAGTGGGCATAGTGGGCATAAACATGTAGCCTAAGTAGCATTTGAAAGTTAGAAGGTATTTAGTTAAAACAGAAACCCTTAGGTTCAAAGCAGGAGGACTGGGATTGAGGGTATTTCCAGATGGGAAGTGCCAGTGAGATATTGCAAACAGGTTTCTGGCAACTGTTTTGTTTTTTGTTTTGACTTATTAGAATTTGTCTAGAAGGGGTAAATCCACATGAAATGGGGAAAGAAATACAGTCTGGCATTTTGAGGCCAACAGTATGTGGATTCTAAGGATTGCTTGGGAAATTGCATATATTAGTCTAAACTTCATCCCAAAATGTGTCTATTAGAATAAATTTGTTTAAAAGTGCTGGAAAACTTTTATAACTTTTTTTCATTGAAAATTGAAGTGGAAATGTGGAGTAGTGAATTTAAGACTGGAAAAATAGCAACTAAGAGAAACAAATTTGACATTCTTCATCCCAATATGACACTGCAGAAAACTTGCATGCATGAGGAGCACTGATCCCCCAACAAGTCCCTGTCTGGAAGCACCTTCAGTCTCTGAACAATTCAAGATGAAGTTTTTTTAGAACAAAAAAGACAGTACAAACAGGAACTATGATAACTAATCTGTCTAAACTTGCTGATGTGATCAGAATAAGCACTCCTTCCCTGAAACAAAAAATGTCAACAGCACACAGGAAAAAACATCAGGAAATACAAAGAAACTGGATTGCAATGGATTTTTTTGCCCTTCCAAGTAGATGAGATGCTAAAGATAAGTAATTAATCTTAATGAGTAAGCAAGATTATTATGTTCACAGAACTGGAGATCAATACAGAAAGCACACCAGAATAGGTGCAGGGTCATGTCAAATCTGATAGTATTTGGTGGATGATAAAAGAACCATCCTTTTTTTTTAAAAAAAAAAAGCAGCATCTTTAAATACCTCAAAACTGGAGAAGGAGGCACATGCACCATGTGTCATGGGTTGGTATTGTTTGGGCACCTGAGAAGGTCTACACCCCAACAGGGAACCCACTGCCATCCCATGGAGACCCCTAGCTCTACTCCCCTTCCTCCTTCCTATTGCTGCTGCCTGTTCAATCTGCCTTCACTTACCTTCTTCCTATGTGTGTTTGTGTGGATTGGGTCCAATGGGAGAGAGCAAGTAAATGGGTGGTGCCAACAGCATTAAGGAAGAGGTGGTCCTGTTACATTCCAGTCTAGGAAGAAGTGAAAAAATCAAATGTTTACTTTCTTACAAAACTATTCAAAAGTCTTAGAACACCTTCTCTACTACCCCCCGAGTCCCCAAAGTTCTACCTGGTTTTCACTGAAAGGGGAAATAACATATTAACAAACATATTAACTAACAAATCTTAGATTAAGGTAACTCTCAATCTCAGATTACCTTTCTCAGGTCCACTCAGGGAGGCGGTACACTGAAGGCAACTTGCCTAGGGGAACCCCAAAACTTGGGGCCAGCACTGCAAATAAATTTAAATGAGTTCATTGCATTACTGTACACTTCAGAAGTTGGTGGGCAGATTCCATCTGAAGCTTTTTCTGTGAGGGCATCTGCAGATGTTAAATACAAGCAACAGGAGATTTTGTTCAAGTCCAGGGTAATTGACAAATCAGTTAAAGATTAACAAGTTCAAACAATATATATCCAAATTATTAAATAACTCAAATGCAAAATTCATCT